GTTTTTAAGTTCATATCAAATTTATACATACAAAAGCAATTTGAAATTGCGTGTTTGCATCCACCGAAATCTCTTCTAGTTCTTCTTCTTGAAAAATTCAGGGACAGTTGTATGAATAAAGGAATAATTTTATTTTTACAACTGTCTATTTGTTTTCTTTTTGCCCTATCTGTATATCTATTACTTTCTACTTAATCAATGAAATAGACGGTTCCTTAACTGCTGTTTTAAATTTGGAGTAATTTGACTAAAATTTAAACAAAGGCTTTAATGATTTACTAACTACATTCACAACATGCCTACTGATTTATATCAGGATTGCTCTAAATACAAATTCCTAGTAGAACATAGGGATTCAACTGCACGTCTCCACTTGCTTCTGTCTTCTGCTGTACTTTTCACCTGCATCCATGTTAGTCCATACTCCTTCAACTCCTCTTCACACAATCTCCTCCATGTCAGCCTTGCCCTGACATCCCACTCGCCGCTTCCCTTTCGGCCTGGTTCCACTCGAGCAATGGCCTGACGTGCGCGTGATATCACCCAACGGCCTCCTCAGCGAGTGTCCAATCCATCTCTACTCCATCTCCTGCATATTCGTTGGTTGGCGGTTGGTTCTTGCCTTGTTTGTTCCCATAATTCCTTGTTAGCGATTCTTTCCGGTCTGGCCATCTGATCTTCAGTATAGAGCCAGCGAAGACAGTTGTTGGTTGATAAAGGTCTCCAACAGGCTGTTGGAAATATTCTTTGTGACCCACCCGCCAAGTTTCTGATCCGTATGGAAACTCCATACGCCGTAGTAATGAAATGCACCTAACTTAGTAAGCCGGTACTCAGTATATTAGGCAAAAAATGCCAAGTTGACACATGCAGTATAAACGATCATATTTTATTATCACAGGTTTCCTTTATTTGTTAAGGTAAAATTGAAGTAAAGCCTACCAAAACGAAGAAATATCGTGACTCACAAACTGCACACAGCCTTCATTTCCGTCGTGTAGCGTCCCATCTTGTTTTGTCAGGATATCTGATAGTATCATGCAATTTAACTGCATCGTTTTGAAATTTAACCATAGGTAAGAGATTCTATATGCATCTGTTATGAAAGCATAATTCTAGCACAGCATCAGACTACAGTCCTATTACAAAATGATTCTAGTAAATGTAACGCAGAGTTATATAGCACTACTAACTTATTAACTTCTTCATCTGCTTATACAAAAGCAAGAAATGTTGCTGAAAATAAATAAAACAGCAGAAATAAGAAAAGTTAACGGGATGCACATAGCTACCAGATTGAGAGAGGTTAACAAAGAGCTATTTTGTAGAATTCTCGAAGAAAGGGAGTTATCCCGGAAGAATTTAGAAAACACTGAGCCATAAAATTTAATGAGTTGATTCAGTGACATATTTTAGTCCGTAGATAACACTGCAGTAATCTTGATTTCAAGTATAGCGGATACACTAAACGATTCAGGTCACCGAAGTTGTTGAAATATGTCAATTTAGATAAGGGTGAAGTGGCAGCAGATGGAGGAAAATTTATTGGGAATAAGCAACGGTGGCACAGCAGTATTATTATTGTCGACCACGCATTTAGTCCGGGGTTCGATCCTCGGCCGACGCACTCCTTTGTATCTCTAAGCTAGAGATAAGGCTGGTAAAAAAGGAAGGTTCCGGATAAAGCTAGCAGCACTAGCCCGTAGAAACAAACACCGCCGCTACAGAAAAATCACCTCTCTAGCTTAAAGCCCCATGTTCCTCGGGAAATGTGAGAGAATCAAAATAAAGTTGGGAACAGAAAAAAATTACTTGGAGATTTAAACAAAATCAATAAAGATTAATGTCAAGACAATGAGTCAGAAATCAAATGCGAACGAAAGAGTCCATAACCTTACAAAAAAATTAGCAAAATAGAATTTAACGGATAAATTTCACCTGACGGCCACCAAATCCAACAAAATACTCACTGAATGAAAATAAGTTCCCGAAGATCAATCCGAAAACTCAAAAAATAAATCAAATGCTGACATCTAGACAAAAAATGGCATGCAACTTGATATATCAAAATAAAAACAGCGTCACATAAGGGCATCTCTTAACCTGAAATGCTCAATTAAGGCAATCATCGACTAAATTGTGTCGAACAATATTATAAATTAAACTAGTACAAATGAAAGATACAGTCACGTCAAAAAGAGACCAGGGAATTTCGTGAAAATTCACATCACATATTACTACGAATTGGTAACACTGTAACGCTCCACAGGGATAATACTGTTCTCTTACATCAATAGTAGTCATCTCTCCAGTGTGGATACATGTAGGGCCAATTTAGTTACCAAGTCAAATAAATCACGAGTGCAGAATTTGCAAAAAGCTAATCCTTCAAATCGAAATCTTCAAAGCTTAACCACGGACATTAATCCATAAGGACTTCATTGACAAATAACAATCACTCACAAAACCCAGGTATTTCGACTCTAATAACAAACAACAACAAGCGAAGATAATAAATAGTCAAATTTTGTACGATACCTTTTCCAAGCTGTTTTACATATAAGCCGTTTCTGAGAACAACAAGATGATGGATAAACTGACCAACATTCCTGTTTTCGTGATTACATAGGAGACAGTTTTATGGAATAGATCAGAGTTATCATTCTGTATCGAAAAAATATACCTGCAACAATCCCGTCTGCGGAGATCATACTTGTCAAAGCTGTATGCAAACAGAGGGGAAGTGTAGGTGCCTGGGCAAGGATAAGTTGGGATCATGGTGAAAATCAACCGGGAAACTTGATTCTCATAGCTGAGTAGGAAAATGGCCTATATTTAGGCATATATCAGAATCCATTCACGAAATCACCAAATTAAAGGATAAGCTAACTGGACAGATTACGAAGACATTCTGGAGATTTCGACACAATCAAAAACCAGATGAACCGGAAAAAAAGAAACCGACAGGAAATATCTGTTTCCTGAAGCCTAACGGTGAAACTCTGATAATCGAAGCGTTCAAGAATATGAAACTCTTGTATATTTATGCTATACCCCTCCAAATCTGCGTTAACGACATGAAAATCATCGTACGCATCAACAAGTAACTGTTGTTGTAGCATATATTGACTAGCTCCCAGGGCGTGTTTCGCAATATGACATGTAGTCGACTTCATTCCAATAGTTTCAGTTGTCTCAACATTGATATTAGCAAATCAAAACTTTTGATCTGCTAACCAAGACTAGCAATTGGACGAAAATAAGGCATGGAAATGTCCTTAAAAGTATGGCCAGCTAACTACCGGCCAACCTTCAATATCCGATAGCAGAGATCGTCTGACTTCCTTTCAATTTAACAGCCAATTCTTCATACACAAAATAAGCCGGAATACTGATTTCTTGTTTTACACCTTAGGAGCTTATTAAGTAAAAAGAGGCTTTTTAAACTACTCCACGTTATATATGCTTCGTACACCTAACTTCATTTTAGTCTTTTGATTTTGATGATAACTGTGAAACGTGATCTATAGTCTCAAACACCATTTAGCAACCTAACAATCAACTCCATTAAAGTACACTCATCAGTAAAAGTCTTCACACGTCCGTACATTCGTTAGTCTCTGACTTTCCTAAAATTCTAAATATTCCGTTTCACATTACTCGTTCGTCTTGTTCCGGTTAGTGCCTTTGCCTCTGTTTACTTTAATGACTTGATGTTCAGGTTTAGAATTTGTTTATATTTTCAAATAAAAGATACATTAACTACATTGTTACGTTAGGTTCTTCATTCTCATGTCAGTTCATCTAATTGTCTAGTTAAACTCTGCTAGAATCACGTCTGAGAGGTGTAGAAAATGTTTTAATTTAAGAACATCACCAGACATATATATATATATATATATATATATATATATATATAGGCATTTACTACTGTATGATCTAATGTGGACAAGGATTTATTCTAGATGAGTAGTATATTTCACCACTCATTACAGTGCAGTCAGAACTAGGACCAAGTCGCTTAAAGGATTGTTAAGATGTAATTTCTGTCTTCAAATCTCTATAACAACTCACGGAGCGTCTTGAATTTTCACGGGTCTAAATAATGCTGACAATCGCCATCTGCCTTCATGCAAGGAAGACTGGTGGCTAAAACCTATCGAAAGTTTTGGTCCGATAATGTGAATACGTAAGCAATTAGTTTTCGTCATTTAGTTTCATAATTTTGCTAAAGGGCCAATTTTGCAAAATCGAATTCATTAATTGGCTTGTGATCAGTCCAACTCAGACTAGTTATAAACAACAGAAAACGTAATACTTACCTTACCCGCTAAGAATTTAGCGACTTCAAGATAACTGTTTAGCGCATAAAACTAGAACAAAACTCCCCTTGAAAAATCATTACACTGCATGAATATCTTATTTTGGTCAACGATGGCATAGTGCCTCCGTATATTCTTGGAAAACCCGTATTGACTCGAGGAAACCACTTTTCAGGGGAGCAAGCATTATGCGAGTGATTCGCAAGCCCGGAACTTATGTTCAAGTATGTGTCGATATATTTGACTGTCTACAGTAGTTCAGACGTACAAACTGTCAACAACATGCTTCCTAAAGTAATCCTCGTATCATATACACTGTGAGATGACATGAGATCACACGTGCTTGATTGAAAATTTGCCGAACAAGTCACATATACCTCAGTCCTGCTGACCTGAGTAGAACGTAGACTCAGTGATTCACTTTTGTTTTTGAGTTAGAAAATTTCGGTCATTACACTAGTCTATGTTCTACATCACATAAGATGTGATTGGACCTGGAGACATCTTCATACAAATCTCTTGGAAACCTCCAATATTACCTGACTTGATTTCAAGTCTGCCTTACATCATTTGATAACAAACCAATAAAACTTATTTTCACCGTATGGTTTCAGCTCATTCTCAACACATGTGAGCATAATCTCGAAACTATGAAAAAGTCAATTGAAATAAACTCACTTAGACTTGTGAAGGAAACAATTGCGAATATGGCGAAAATTCCAATATTCATTCCCCGAAATCAGGTGGACGCATTTGTTTACTATAAGGAATTTCAGTCATAACTTAAAAGTAATCCTAGTTTGGTGCGCAGTAAAATGTGATCCTTTTGAAATTTCTCGAATTTCAAGGTCATTAATTTCCACCCATATGATCTGAATAATGCAATTGTACATTTCAATCAGCTTCATTTCTTGTCATAAACAAAAATTTTCACCTCAAAGTTTTTGCTGTATGTCTCTTGTAACGTTTCTCGTGGAATGGTCACCAATATCCTATATCAAATACCTTTCTGTCAAGCCTGTATTAACTTTATGATTTTTAGCTTTCGCTTCTCGCTGTTTCACAAAGATCTTAGATCTTTGGTGGACTTCTGTATGATTCATCTCGTCAACTGCTTCAGCTCCGCTGTATGCCATAGGAGGGGGTTTATTTGGCTACTTTGGAGGAATTGCATGGTTTATACCAGGGCGGTGGCGCTGCTGGAACTTGCAGGTCTCATTTCGCTGGAGTATCCTTCAGTTGGGTTGACAAACATCATGGGTGAAAAGGGATTCGAGAAAATCGGTAGACAAGGCGAATGGAAATTTGTGCAATAAGACTAGGTGTGAAGCAGGTAAGACATTGGGAGCGCATACACAACAAAAAGAAAATTATAAAGCTGACAGGGACTTGTGTTCAACTGATTAGAACAAAATATTGCAGAATACAGAAGTGGGTGGGAGATTTGTAGGACCAGTTCAACTCCCTGAAACTAGTCATATCCCTCTATCGTTTCTGGATAGTAGCCCAGCTTTTCTTCGAAGCTATCATCTGACAGGACGGTTGCCACGTCGTCTGGTAGTGAACTCTGTGGGTAACTAGCTGTAAGGTAGAAGGGGCAAGACCATAATTTTGGTGCTGCCCTCTGGCGAGAGATTCAGTTAGTGTTACGTGAGGGATACCGCAATGCCTTTTTGATAATATGACTCAGTTTGGGTGCTTTGCGCTGTGCACTATTTTGCATGACATGTTGAAGTTGTCGCTGGGTCGGCAGTGGCTGAGAACATGCAGACCCAGCTTTCTGAGTCAGCATTCACATAGCTGGAATTCCACTTATGTGCAATTTACAGCTACCCTTGCAACAACAGAAGACAAGGGCCGGCAACAGACCGTTTTATTACGGAAATCAACACGTATTTACACATATTTCACATACATTGTTGTAGCTTATTCAAGTAGACAAACGCAGCCTTCTGATTGGTTGTTGTTTCGAGTAACCATCGAAAAGTGGAGCCATCTATCTGCGAATCATGTTTGCCCACGTTAAGTTTGCTGTGATTGGTTGCTGAACCAGCCTTGTTCATATATTTTCTCACGGCCAATATTAGTGACCCAGACATTGGCGTAGATTAATGTCTTCCAATTGGCTAGCTGCCTGCTCTCACTACACCCTCTTTTGAAAGTTGCCTGTGTGGCTTGCGTCTCTTTCATACGGTAGTGGTGCAGTGATGTTATGGAGGTGGCCGCACACATATTTTGCCTGAGTACCGCTACCTGTCTGAGCGCGAAGAAGACTACTCCAGTGGCTCTGATTGCATTTACTGCACATTTTGGCGCTTGTATCTAGTTTATCTATCAAGAATAGTTCGAGGATGTCCCTACAAAAGTGGCAGTAATGTCTTTGTTTTACTCTAAATAAATTATAAATAAATAAATAAATATATTCTCGTAGTACAGCACATGAGGGACGCCAGTTTACAGGCATCATCAAATTTTTACAGAAATAGAACCCTATTATTCAGTCACATATTACTGTCGATAGCACAAGATGTTTTACATGTACGCTGGAGATTATACATACACTTGATAAATGTTAATCCCAATGGTATAAGACATCCTTTTCACTTATGTACAACCATTTCTGTGCACAATTGTGAAAGTCTGCTAGATTGTCAGTGAGTGCAACACTTCAGGAAATACAGAAGTATTGCCTTCGCATTAACGAAAAAACCAGGTCTTTGATGGATGGGTTTATAAGTGCCTGGGAAAAAAATAAAGCTTGAAGTCAATTTTCATACATAATTTTGCTGTGTGCAGAATCTTTAGTTATAGTTCATTGATGTCTCATTTTGAAATCAGTGATATGTTTATCTCATTTGATCTGCAATGTCATTGTTGGGAGTAAAATACATAAGCTTTAGACGCATTAATTAATGGATTTCTACTGCTTGTGGGTATTTTCTTCGCGTTAGGAAGCTTTTTGAATTTCAGTTGTTCCGACAAGAGTTGCGAATATTAAATGCTCAGCAACATTATGGATATAAGTTCCTCACATAATCTTAGGAAATTCGGTGTCAATGTAGTTGAAGATTGAACGATCAATTCTTGGTTGTTTGCTCAAATCCAACTTCCCCAATTTTCGCGGAGGCATCAATACGACAGTCATCGTCTCATCGTTCGCTGTTCAGAAAGAAGTCAGGAGACAACCGTCAGAATTAATATTGTGATTTATTATTGTAATATTTGTTCACAGAACTTAGTTGTAACATTGTTTATATGTTGGTGTAACAATAAAGAATCCTCGAGTCAACAATTGGTGTTTTGGTTTATTCGTCCGTTATTACTAAGCGTTTCTGAGAAACTTCAAGGAACAGCGTGAGCACGAGCGTAGCAAGAGCTGGGCATTAACGGTTTACGAGACGTGGCTGACAGTGGAATTGTAAGGCGACAATTTAAAGAAGTAGTGGTTTAATGGATATGCACCCACTTCTGAGGACATTGAACGAACCTGGGAATTCGGTTTATTGCAAAAGTATCTCTAGACCGCTTGACACCCCACAATTTTCTTTAGGGGTATTACCAGTTAAGGTGAAAGGACCGAAATCCTCAGTAGAGTCTTATGCATTGTTGGATAATGGTTGAGACGTTACATTGATAGATGCTAAACCGGCTGGTTGCTTGGGTATTAAAGGCCCAGAGTAACCCTTGGTTGTAAATACTTTCAATTCTGCGAAAACAGTAGTATGTGAACGAGTGTCATTTCAATTAGAATACTTGGCTACTGGGGAAACCATGGAAGTGGATACTGCTTACACTACCTCCAGTATGAAACTTGGCGAAGCTGTAGTACGTAGTCGTGAAACGGTTGTCGGTAAGCCATACCTGTGTGGCATACCTCTTCCAACACTGCAAGATGGAAGAGTGAGAGTACTCATTGGATGTAGTTTGCCAGAAGCTCACAAGGTATTGGAAGAGAGATTCGGAGGTAGAGTTGACCTGTTCGCGACGAAAACACCACTGGGATGGGTGGTGGGAGGGTGGTGACTGCTAGTCAGCGGATATGATGGTGGGGACATATGTGAACCACCCTTATCTGCGGGACAGCACTCTATTGCTATGGCTCCTGAGTTCAGATGGCTTCTGCAAAATGAGAATAAATAAAAACTAAAAAAAAATAATGAAAAAAGAAATAGAAGTTGAAAATTGCCTAGAGCCGAAGTTTAGACGCAAACTCCCGAATGAAAGTAAATGGTATGAGTCCGCTACTTCAGAAGGACACCGAACTGTATACTTCAGAAAAACATATATTACTAGGCCCTCGCTTTTCTTTTACATAGCTCACGCACTCTGACTTTTGTGTTTAACTCCTTTTAAACCTCGTAAGTAGGTGAAATTATCACCTGTCTTTCACTTTAAACTAATTGTTCGCAGAAAAGACTGTAAAATATCGGGAAAATAATATTTCCTGAAAAAAAAGAATAAAAAACGATGAACCCCATGCCTGTTGTATATTTTGAATTATTAACACCTTTTAAATACTGAAGGTGCAGATCTGCACCTGTCTGCTGGTTTTCTTGTGTCTTCTTCTCCTTTCAAACATACTGCTTTCAACGAAGGTACAGCGCTGCAATTCTCTACTTATTCGTGATATTGCTAGCTCATCTGGTGAATAACGGGATCATCGGTATTATAAAATCTGCTAACAAGTTCAAAGTGGGTCTCATAAACAACTGGAAATGTCACAAATATGATGTACTTACAGGTGAATTTAAAGTTTAATAGACTTTAAAACTCTTTCTGAATGATTTACTGATAATTATTGTTTATTCTGCATCTCTTATGTAATACGTCAGCACCTGTACAGAAATGCTACTTACCTTCCCAACTAACGCAATCACACGGCACTGGACAAAGAATTGAAGAAAAGTGCTAGGAAGGACAAAAGACGATTCTACGACAATCTAGCTACTGAAGCTGAGAAGGCAGCAGGCACAAGGGGCCTGAGGACACTATATCATATAACCAAATCTCTATCCGGAAAGAGACCAACACAAGCGAAACCTATAAAAGACAGCCAAGGGAAGCTCATTACCAAGGAAGAAAGACAGATTAAACAATGGGCGGATCACTTCAAAAGACTCTTGCACCGACCATCACCTGCAACCCGTCCAGAAAAACAAACAACAGCGCGCACCAAACTGCAAGTTGACACCAAAACTCCAACGAAAGCTGAAGTCTTGAATGCAATCAGACTTCTGAAAGCTGGAAAAGCAGCCGGACTAGATGAAATACCCCCTGAAGCAATGAGAGCGGACCCAGAGACTACAGCAGACATGCTGACTCCATTATTGCAAAAGGTATGGAAGGAGGGAAAGGTGCCTACTGACTGAAGAAAGGTTACCTCGTGAAACTACCAAGGAAGGGCGACTTAGGACTCTGCAAGAACTGGCGAGGAATCATGCTCCTGTCAGTGCCGAGTAAAATCCCAAGTCGTATCATCCTGGAGAGAATAAAGGATGCACTGGATACAGAACTCCGACCAGAACAAGCTGGATCCAGGAAAGGCAAATCATGTACTGACCAAACTGCAACTCTACGCATCATCATCGAACAAAGCATGGAATGACAATCAAACCTCTACCTAAACTTCATAGACTTTGAGAAGGCCTTCGGCAGCGTCGACCGCGAAGTAATTTGGAAATTACTCGAGTACTACGGCGTATAATGCCCAAAATATTCATCAACCTTATTCAACAACTGTACGACAACGACACATGTCAAGTGATCCACAACGGAAAACTCAGTGAGGCGTTTGGAGTAAACACAGGATACAGACAAGGGTGCTTATTATCACCAATGAATGATATTCTTAATTGTGGTGGACTGACTGGATTATGCGTCAGACAGTGGGAAACGAGGAGACAGGAATATCCTGGACCGACGTGAAGAACCCAGAAGACCTGGATTTCGCGCGTGGATGATTTATATTTGATGTCACACAAAATCGAAAACTTAAAAACGAAAATCGACCGACAAACTGGTCAAAGAAGCAGCCGGCG